CAATAAATTGGGTTATTAATCCGTACAACTGCAGCAGTGGAGGACTATTATTCTGCTGCGTGATACTGCAGAAGAACGGATGACGGCACGGGTTGATCTTTGGCTGACCAATCAGCAGAAAGGGGCGTTTAATTCCCGCCCACATGTAGAAATCAAATATTCAAGCTGTTTATTCATTTTTCCACCCATGAACGAAAAAACGAAAATTTAAGCTGAATTCTTGTTTTTCGTTTTTTGGTAAAAACGAAAAAGGAGCCATTTATTAATTTTTCTACTTTCAATATTAAATCAAAAAACGAATGATCGAATGATACACGGATTTAATTAACTTTGGCTTTTCGAGGTTTATTTGATTTGATTTATTACAATTTTTTTGTTTTATTTTTAACCGTTCACAGCTACCTCTGAATAACCTAGACCTTTCCATTTTGACAGATTGTTTCCTATCTTGTTGTTCAATCTTGTTTGCCATCCATAGAATCCATAGAATTTTCTGACCTATGAGAAATAAAATGAATCTTAAAATGGGAAACTTTGGATTGCACAAATGATTGCACTCACAGTCAAGTATTTCTGTTGGATGAAAACATCCAAGCATACAGCTGGTTCTACAGGAATGATGATCCCTTCAGAAACATTTTGCACAAGATCTGGTGGATATCCTAATAAAACGTGGAAGATGCATTGCCTTTTGACACCAAATAAATGGACCCTGTAACTGGATCCTCTAATACTGATTGAATATGAAGAGTGTTCAGCTTGTTCGTATTTCTCTGAAATGCCCCTGAACATACTTCTTTCAGCTGAAAATCTGATCACTGGCTAAGGCAAAACCTGCAGGGATATGGTCTAGAAAAATTTTCAATAAACCCACCAGGCACTGGCAGATTCAGGGGTTGGACCCCATTGAAATCTGATTGGTATCTGAAGTGCCCCTGTCCTGTCACTCATCACTGATTTACGTCAAAGCACTATATTGGGTGCGTCGGGTTTGTTGTAACAATTTTAAGGCATTCAATAGTGAACAGTGTGCACACATAGAGCCACTTCTCAGGCAATGCATGAGCCCCAAATTTAGTTTCTTTCCATGTCTTCTTGTGCTTGAACAGACAAATTGCTTACTGTATACTGTATTATCGGTATTATCACATATGAAGCTGCATTACAAAAACAGGTTGAAAAGATATACAAACTTAAGTGTTGTCTTATAATTAGCAAGTTTAATAACTTTTTTCAAATAGCAAAAAAAACGACTCAAAATAGATCAGAAACAAAAAAAAACACCAAGCAATAAAGAACAATATTAAGAATAGTAAGAATCTTTACTTGGCTAGCATGTTTCAGCCTTCAAGTAGTTGGTTTTGTTTGATAAACACCATAACAAATGTAAAAATCTGAATGGCTGTTTGAAAACATGAAAATACTATATGCTCCTTTCATCGGTCACATATTCACCCAGTTCACTCTCTGCTATGGACTACACTTCCCATGATCCCCCACTCCAGTCAGCCTGTTCCTCAGAGCACTAATGACCAGCACCTGTCCCTCATCATCACCTCAATCAGCACCACTACAAAAGCCAACGTCACCATGCACTCAGTGTCTGGCCTACAAATGAGAAGCGACAGACTCATTTACCTGTTTCTAGCGATCGCCAAACATATTCCAATGTTTTCCAAAGATACTCTATTTATCTTCAATCGTCCTCATTGTTGTCTCCTTATTGTCTGTTATTGACCTGCATTGTTCTTCATACTGTATTCTCGTTTTCATTATTAATCTTCAGACTCACAATAACTTGGTGAAATTTATCAGTAGATCATAGATTCGTCTCTACTGGTTCTACTTGGCCTTTGTATTCCTTAGTTTATATTGACAACTCATGTACAGAATACTCTATTAGTAAACGAGACCATCACAGAAATGCAATGTTTGCATGGAAGCAGCATCATGCATTATAAATTAAAAAAAAACAAGGAGAGGAAAAAGAAAATGAAAGAGAACCGGGAATACATCAAAACAATTGCGGAGGTACTCCTGTTGATCGCCACCCAGAATATCGCCCAAAGAGGTCACAGAGAGTCTGATGACTCAAATAACAAGGGCAACTTTTTCGCTATTTTAGAGCAGATTGCTAAACATGATCCCCTAATAGAGAAGTGCATGAATGCTTACGGCAATGCCAAGTATGCAAGCAAAGGTTTACAAAACAAAATACTCGAATGCTTGGCAGAAATGGTTGAAGTTACAGAAAGTGAGGTTTTCAGCATATTTGCTGATGAAATACAGGACCTTCAACAGATGGAGCAAGTATCGCTGATTATCAAGTATTACTAAATTGGGATGATACATGAGAGCTTTCTTGGCTTTAGAGGGGCTGATAGCTTAGATGCTGCAGGCCTTACCAGCTTAATAATAAATTGCATTGAAAGATATGGACTAGAATATAGTATCAACCTGGTTGGTCAGGGCTATGATGGTGCTGCTGTTACGAGTGGTAAGCACTCAGGCACATGCACAAGAATCTGTAAAATATGCATTTTATGTGTATTGTAATGCTCACTGTCTAAACCTTGTCATTGTGGATAGATTAAATAGGTCTTTATTGTATAGGTCTAATTGTCTCCCGAGGGAGCAATGATCAAATAATGCAGCGCATTTAAATAGTCAATGCAAGGAAGCAACTCTATAAAAACGTTACAATATTTCATATCAACATCAAAAAATTATATTTCACAGAAAATAACTTCCTTACAGTACTGATGGATTAGAACATGTAACAAGATCAGGAATCGTTTAAGTGACATTGATCTTCAAGTAGTGACAGAAACAAACTCATGAAATTTGTGCAAAAAGTTTTATTAACTAAACACTAACACATAACTAGTCTAACCAGAACATATACACACACATACTGTACATGAGGAAGTGGAAATGAACTGTGCTTACAAGGATCCTTGTCAAGACAGCCATTGGTATTCACCTGCTGTCTGAGAAGGCTATCTGTTTGTGCACTTCAGGTGTGTGAGCGGTGCGCATAGAAACGCTTTATCACAGTGCGTGAGTAACTGTTACCGCATTGAGATGTCTTGGGCTTAAATGGCTTAAAATTACTTTAATGTTTAAACTGACAAGACTTAAAACACGTGAGAATGAAAAACTTTCTCGAGGAAGCAGCACTGGCCCGATCGTTAAGATTGTTGAAGCATCCTTCATAGCAATTCAAAAACATTTTTTTAACAAATTCCCCTCTTGGCTACAAACACGATAAACGAGTGAGCGTTAAAAAGACAGACTGTTTCAGAAAATGTTGCATTGCACTTCCATTTCATTGCACACCCCACTCACGCAATAAACGGGTGGATGTTACAACGTCAAACTCCAGTATTTAAGACCGCTTACCTGATGGTTTTTTTCGACATCTTCACAGCGCACTTCAAAATTCTTTGGCTGGATACAATATTTGCATATCACACAGCTCACAGTGAAATTTGTTAGATTTACTTAATTGTAATGCTAGTTGACGCGACTTAGGTTTTTCATTCACGTTATACATGCACTTTTAATCACCTTTGCCTTTTAATTTACATTTTTGTGTTGCACACACTAATATTTGTTAAGTATAGCTGTAAAATGTTATGAAATGTACTTTTTCAGTTTAATCTATTTACAATACAATAAAAATTGTATTTCTATAGCACATTTAAAAACAACTGCCGTTGACCAAAGTGCTTTCCAGCATCATTGTGCAGTCACACAAACAAAAATTTAAAATTGTATTCTGATCACTCAATCAATTTTAAAAGCAATACCAAAAAGATACGATTTCAGTTTAGACTTAAAAGCATCCACAGATGGGGAAGATTTAATGTGCACTGGAAGAGGGTTAGAAAGCGCTTTGATTTTAATCTAGTTTAAGGAATCATCTAACTCGAGAAACTCATATGGGGCAATACCATGCAACGCTTTAAAAACCATCAACAGAACCTTAAACTCAATTCTAAATTTTACAGGCAACCAGTGTAAAGAAACCAGAACTGGGCTAATTCTCTCCCTCCTCTTTGTGCGAGTCAAAAGTCTAGCAGCACCATTTTGTACTAATTGAAGACCAGATAACTGACCCTGTAAAATACCTATATATATATATATACAGTGGGTACGGAAAGTATTCAGACCCCCTTAAA